CTAGAGTTATTCGAAAACTGATTAAACACATAGCATGCAACCATTCACAAAATAACATACATGTAAAATATATCATAACATGTATGTAATTGAAATATCATGCRTACRTACACATCATMAACAATTCATATCATGCAAAAATAATTTGTACTTAGGTATGCATCCCAGTGAAATCTCATGAAGACTCACCTGATTGCGTATCGATTGACTACCGATCGCTCTTGACCAAATGCCTACAAATTTCATACCATAACATCTCATTAACGTCTTAATTTCTCAAAAAATCAACTATTGTCATTCTGACCCAACCTAAAGTCAAACTTCATATCCGAGAATCTTAATATGCCTTAAACAACCCTATTTGACTCATCATTAATATCTACATGGGTCAAACGTGCGAAAGGTCAACCCTTGGTCAACAAGGTCAACCCCGACTGACTTTAGTCAAGCCCCAAGTCTAAAACTCGATGGCACCCAAAAAAAACGTTTTAGTATCTTATAATTTCATCTCTCTACATTAAAACATCACAATAATTACTTTACTCAAATTACGATGCTTAAATCATCAAAACAATTTAATGATCTATATAAGCATCCTCCTTAGAAAATAAATAATTAACTAAAACTAATATTCAAAAAAATAAAAATAAATTAATGTAATAATTAAATACTAATTCAGTTTAATACATTAACTAATTTAGTAATTAAATTAATTGGTTAATATAAATTAATTAACTACATCTGAAATTTATTAGTTTGGATCAATTCACAAAATCATATACCTTAAGTACCCAAATTAAGCCACAAAAATTAAGGGCCAAAAATATAGTCAAATAAGCATCTTTGGCCCAACTTCAATGAAATAAAGGAGAAAGCCCAACAAAAATCGTGGCCCAACAAACCAACAATCAGCCACACCAAACATATGCAACGATCACGTCATTCGGAAAAACAGGCCGTTTGGCATCGTTTCTTCATCGTTTTCGATGATTCTTTGCAAAATCTCTGGAAAATGATTTTTCTCAACCATAGAAACAAAAATCAACGAAATCCATCAAGTATTGAGTCTCATATGCTCGTTTAAAGTTAAGGTCTTAAAACCACTCGAAAATCAGTAAAAAACTCAAAATCGAACATTCAAAAATAAAGTCTGAGACATAAGACTACTAAGGTTTCATAGAGGACCTAAAAACGAAGGCATCCATATAAAGAACTCGAATTTTGGTTGAGTATTTTACCTCCAATCGTCAATAAACGGAGTTTGTCGAACCCGAACTTCAACGTCCGATTTCTCTTTCGAAACTCGACGAAAGTTCGGTTTTCTTGAAGCAAAAGTGTAGAAAAAAGTGTTGTCTACATGTATATGTATTTTTTTTGTCGTAATAGTTGAAAATTCAGACAAATAAAAAGCTTCAAATCAATTGTCGTTTTCAAGTTTCTGAAAATTTTCAGATCTGGTGTATTTACAAAACAAGTCCTTCTGGTTTGGACTTGTTTACATCTGACCCAACCCCTTAACTATCATGAATTTACAATTTTCACCCATGTCTTGACTTTTTCTTTCACATTTAGTCCGATTTTGAAACTTCTTTTAATTTCTTTATTTATTTAATATATATATATATATATATATAAGTACGTGTGTGTGTGTTTTATAATAATACAAAATGAAAATAATAATAATGAAGATAAATTATTTATTACTCGAATTTTTTGTGTTTTACAACTCTTCCCTCCTTCAAGAAATTCCGTCCTCGGAATTAATACTCGCTAAAACAATTGAGGATATTTGGTTTTCATCTCTTCTTCCGATTCCCACGTCATCTCTGCGCCTTTATGGAATTTCCACTTAACTAATACCAGTGGTATACTTTTGTTTCTTATCATTTTCGTCTTTTTATCCAATATATCAACTGGCTCTTCCACATAAGCGAGTTTGTCGTTAACCTCGATGTCTTCCAAATCCATAACAGTTGATTCGTCAGCTAAACATTTTCTCAAGGTTGACGCATGAAAGGTATCGTGAATACCACCTAACTCCTTTGGCAGTTTCAACCGATAAGCAACTGCTCCTACTCTTGCAGTTATCTCAAATGGTCTAATATACCTTGGACTTAGCTTACCCTTCTTTCCAAATCTTACGACCCCTTTCCATGGCGATATTTTCAACAAGACCTTATCACCTACTTGAAATTCCAAAGGTCGACGCCTCCTATCCGTATAACTTTTTTATCTATCTTGCGTAACCTTTAACCTCTCCCTGATCTGTACTATTTTATCAGATGTCTGTTGGACTAACTCGGCTCCAGCTAGTTGTCTCTCTTCAATTTCTGCCCAACAAATTGGGGTTCTACACTTGCGGCCATACAATGCTTCAAATGGTGTTGCCTTGATGGTCGAGTGGTAACTATTGTTATAAGCAAATTCTATCAACCGGAGGTGGTTGTCCCAACTACTTCCAAAGTCAATCACACAAGCTCTCAACATATCCTCTAGCGTTTGTATCGTCCTCTCACTCTGGCCATCAGTTTGAGGATGATATGCAGTACTCATGTTCAGCCGTGTCCCCATTTCTTGTTGAAAACTTGACCAAAACCTCGAGGTAAACCTAGCATCTCTATCTGAGACTATGGATATCGGTACACCATGTCTTGACACGATTTCATTGACGTAAAGTTGGGCCAATCTTTCTAATGTATACTTGTCGCTGATCGGAAAGAAGTGAACAGATTTCGTTAGTCGATCCACAATTACCCATATGGCGTCGTGTCCCTTTACCGTCCTTGGAAATTTGGTGACAAAATCCATCGTTATCATATCCCACTTCCATACTGGGATCTCCATTTGTTGAAACATTCCAGAAGTCTTTTGATGCTCTGTCTTCACTTTCAAGCACGTCAAGCATTTCCCCACATAGCTAGCTACTGCCCTTTTCATACCAGGCCACCAATAGCTTTCTTTTATATTCTTGTACATCTTATTACTACCTAGATGCATAGTATATTTGGACTTATGTGCTTCATCCATCACTACATTTCTTAGGTCCCCCAAACTAGGAATCCAAACCCGATTCCCGTGTCTATATATTCCATCTGGTCCGATCGTCAAAGTCTTAATTTGTCCAACCATTCTCTCCTTTTTAATATACGTTTCGAGTAAAGCTTCCTTCTGAACATCCCGAATTCGGTCTAGCAACTCCACTTTAACACTCATCCACCTGGCTCGAACCCTGACTGGTTCGTTTCTCTCTTTCCTACTAAGTGCATCGACAACTACATTTGACTTACCTGGATGGTAGTGAATCTCACAATCATAATCTTTAAGTAGTTCCATCCATATCCTTTGTCTCATATTTAGCTCCTTTTCATCAAACAAGTACTTAAGACTTTTATGATCAGTATAGATAATGCACTTCGTACCGTACAAATAGTGTCTCCAGATTTTAAGCGTGAAGACTACAGCTGCTAATTCCATATCGTGAGTTGGGTATTTCCTCTCGTGTTCTTTCAACTGACGTGACGCATATGCAATAACCTTGCCTCACTGCATTAGTACACAACCCAAACCCATTTTTGATGCATCGCTATAAACGACAAAATCTTCTATTCCTTCCGGTAGTATAAAACCGGTGCAGTGCTTAGTCTCTCCTTAAGTGTCTGAAATGCTTCTTCTTGTTTCGTTCCCCAATCAAACTTAACCGACTTTTTTGTCAGTGTTGTCAAAGGGGTTGCTATCTTGGAGAAATCTTGGATGAATCTTCGGTAATACCCCGCTAGGCCTAAAAAACTTCGGATCTCCAATACTGACTTTGGTGATTCCCAGTTCATAACTGCATCAATCTTAGCCGGATCCACCTTGATCCCTTCCGTGTTGACTACGTGACGAAGGAATTATACCTCATGCAACCAAAACTCACATTTTGAGAACTTGGTGTACAATTGCTCTTTTGTTAGTAATTCAAGAATCATCCTTAAGTGTTGCTCATGCTCCTTCTTACTTTTCGAATAGATCAAAATGTCATCTATAAAGACTATGACAAATTGGTCCAAATACGGTCCACAAACTCGATTCATTAAGTCCATGAATGCCGCAGGTGCATTTGTTAACCCAAACGGCATTACTACAAATTTGTAATGTCTGTAACAAGTCCTAAAGGTCTTTGACACGTCCTCTTCTCGAACCTTCAACTGATGGTAACCCGATCTTAAATCGATTTTTGAGAAACAACTGGCTCCTTACAACTGATCGAAAAGGTCGTCGATCCTTGGCAATGGATATCTGTTCTTTATCATGATTTTGTTCAACTCCTGATAATCGATGCACATCCTCATCGTGCCGTCTTTCTTTTTGACGAATAAAATCGGTGCTCCCCATGGTGACGAGTTTGGCCTGATAAACCCTTTATCTAAGAGTTCTTGTAATTGATTCATCAACTCTTGCATTTCTGTTGGGGCTAAACGATAAGGCGCTCTTACGATTGGTGCCGCACCTGGTACCAAATCGATTCGGAACTCTACCTGACGTTCCGGTGGTATTCCCGGTAATTCATCTGGAAATACTTCTGGGTAATCCCTCACCACTGGAACATCATGTATTGCCTTTTTTTCGAGCTTGGCGTCGACGGTGTATGCCAAGTAAGCCACACATCCCTTACACAGACACCTATTCGCCTTAACTGCATTGATTAGCCCTACGCAGCACTTCTTTTGATCACTGTAAACATGAATTGTTTCTCCTTCCGGAGTTTGAATCTTGATCATCTTTTTATTGCATACTATTTACGCATGATTGTTAGACAACCAACCCATCCCAAGACCTCGTCAAAACCCCCTAAACACATTGGCATAAGCCTAACAGGGAAATCCTTACCATCTGTAACAATTGTGCATTCATCAAATACTTCGTCTATCTTACACTGACTACCGTCGGCTGTTTCTACAGTGTAGGCTATGTCTAGCCTATAGACACTCCAATTCAGATAGTGGCAGAAGGTAGTAGACACAAAACTACCATTTTCACCCGAATGAAATAATACATGTGCATACACATTGTTGATAGGGAACATACCAGATACGACGTCGGGTGTTTCCTTGGCCTTCTCCAAAGTCATGTTGTAAGCTCGGCTGTGTCCCTTAGGTAGCTCCTTCCTATTTTTTGATCTCTTCCCAAACCCGTTATTCATTGTCTTTACGTGGGGTGTCGCACCATTTCGATGTTTTGGACAGTCAGGTCGTAAATGTCTCATAGCCCCACATTCATAACAAGTTTTTCCTTCTGGGCACTCCCGCACGGTATGCCCAGGTTTGTCACATTTGTAGCATGTCAGGCTCCCTGCTCTGCACTCTCCCCCTATGCTCTTGTTGTATTTGTTACATGGAGGAATAGTGAATCCCTCGCTTCGTGTTTTTGCCAGAGTCGGAGTCCATTTTGGTTTCTTGTTGAACTTGTTCGATCCTTCCCATCTTCTCTTTGCATCTCTTTTATCACAATTCTCCCTAGCGTTTTTCTCCTCTACCACCTTCGCCATCTCTACTGCTTAGACAAATGTGGTCGGTTTAGTCATGTCCACGTACCGTTTGATTTCAATTCTTAAGCCGTTTTTGAAGCGACCTATCTTTCTTTCCTTGGTAGCCACCTGGTAACTGGTGAACCTCGCTTTCTCAAGAAAATCGTTAACATATTCTTGAACTGACAACGAACCTTGCTTTAATCTCAAAAATTCCGATTCAAGCTTGTTCACCTCTAATTGTGTGTAATACTTATCCATCATCATCTTTTTCATTTGCTCCCAAGTCATGGCAGCAATATCCTCATCACCTCTGATTGCACACTCAGACTCCCACCAATGCAATGCATAATCCACAAAGGTTGTAGCAGCATAGGTCACTTTTTGATCTTCTGCGCATCTACAAATTTTGAAGCTACTCTGCATCTTGGTTACCTAGTTCATCAGGCCAACTGGGCCCTCTATTCCCATAAAATTTTTCGATCTGGTGCCCTTGAATGTTTTAAAGCTGCATCCTTTCTCCTTTATTGTCAATTCGGTTCTCTCGTTGGTGGGCGACTCCACCTTCTCTTTAATAGATACTTCCACCTTTTTAGTGGCTTGAGTGTTCTCATTTCGAACACTTTCCTCCTTTCCATCTTCATTGTCTTTAAATCTGTCACCCAACATTGTTTTAAGCATATTTGGCAATGTATCCCGGAGGACTTGTGCCATTTGCTCAACTATCATTTCCTTTGTGAGGGGATTTTCCCCTCCCCGGCCTCCTTGACTCCTACCGATAGCTAAATTAGCTTGCGCGGATCAAGTCGTACTAGAACTAGCGGTTCGGACACTTCCTCGACCTCGACTTTGGGCTCGTGTCCGACCTCGAACTGTTGGTGGGGCTATGCCATTAGTACCTCCCCCATTGAGGGCATTTCTTGTTGATCCACGAGAAACCATACTGACATAATAGGGTATTATCGTTTTAACATGGTTCTAAAGTCAAACATAACACATTACATTTTTTATATATAATATAATCACTATATATAAGCGAAGTACATAATAAGGAATTCACGTCGAAAATTTCATAATGCTCAGCAAGCTATATATATTTCGTGTCAATAAACAATCATGGAGAGAGATACATTACATAATCCCATTTACTTACAAAAGATGGGATACTTCATAATTCTAAACACATCTCTAAATCATGTGAATGCTCAAAAAAATCTATTGAAGCACTGGACTACATGAAAATTCGATCAACTATCTAGACACGCACAATTATATCACATACCCAAAAGATCTTTCTCTCTCCCCTCTCTCAAAACGATTCTATGTCTAAAACTGATCTGCAGGGTAATAAGGGAGATAAGGGTCCGTCAACCACTCCTCAAAAGATGTGGATGGCCTGGAATGCCACAACACACTAGCCTTTGGGCCATTTTTGATGCATTGGACCCAGTCGGAGAAATAGCCCCTCACTACACTAGCATAGTCTATGGTCATTTTCTTATAAAAGTGAACTCTGTGTCTGAATCTAGCGCCTACGGGGCGAGCAGCAATTCTTCGCTCCTGTTCAAGTACAACTTTATCCCAAATCAGTGCATAAAGCTGAATAGACAAATTTGCATTCTCTACAATTAGCTTGTTTAGGGCTCCTCCTTGTTCGACATGTGCCTGCTGAAGATTGTTCAGCCATTCATTCAGTCTAGTATTCCTATCTAAAGTTCGGGTCAACCTCTCTCTTAGCTTTGTGTTCTCGCCCCTCAAGGTCTCTATAGTCTCCATCATGTCCTCACGTGTAGGGGTGTGGGGCGTGTAGTCCTCCGAAAGCTCAGGTGTGGTCCTTCGCCTGATGGGCTCTCGTGATGACACTTCACTAGTGTGGGCCAGACTATCGCTATTCTGAAAGCTCTGGCGCCGGAGCTGTGACAGTTAATAGATCCTCTATTTGGTCCTAGCGCGTAAGGTGTCCTACGTGTTCCGTATTTGCATCCACGTCCGCGTTTGATAGACTTAGTGTGAATGGTGTGAACCATTTCTCCTACAAGTCATAAAAGAACATTATGTCAAGTAGTAACGTAGGATGAAACTTAATCGCATGATAAGCAATACTAATACACAATAAACACATGCTTCTAACCATCCTCTCAGTTTAAGCTTAGGCTAAGTAAATCTTAACCTAATTACCTTAAACTAAAGCTCTGATACCAACTTGTAACACCCTCAATTTTTATTTTTTTTATTTTTTTTGAGAATGTTACGTAATCTGAAACAAATTCCTAAATAAATACTCCAAAAGACGGCTAAAATAAAACCGTTTAA